TGGTGTCCACAAAATCAGGTAAATTTCACTTAATAAATAACTTATTCAAGATAAATCTTGAACAAAACAAATAAGATTGAATGTTAGCTATATTGAGCAAATGTTAACCTAGGAAGCAATGCTTAAATGACAAACAGGGGTCTGAGGACGAGACATGTCAGATTAGTTCATAGTTCCAAAAAGGAAAAATTCACACAGAACTATGAACTTTCATACTTAATTAGCATAGTGCATGTTTAAATTTTAAAAACAGTAGTTAGTTGTTGAGCTTGAGGACATCCCATAGTTTTATTTCTGCATATATTTCAAATTAGTTCACTTTCTTCTCTTATAAATTCTATAATTTCTTAGGTTTCACTTTCTTGGTGACACAGATCAAGAATCCACTGACAATCCACAGACAAGTTGGTTAATTAATTAGACAGATGGAACACCAACAACAAAAAAATAGTTGTCATCCTTGGAAGCCATCTAACTTTTTTTGGAATGGTCAGATCAATCATATTAAAAGCAATACACAAAAACTTCTTTAATATGTTCAGGTCAGTTATACCAAAGACACCAATTATAAAAGCAAACAAGTCATTGGCTGAAGACGTCAAAAAGATTCTGCAAAACTAAATATATTTTCCGCTTTTGCCAATTATTTGTGCAAACTACATCCTAAATAAAGAAACAGTACATACATGAGCCCCTGCAGATATATGAAGATATAGTGGCTTTTCGCTGTCTGGCAATCCATTTGGAGGACGGTACTTGCCTCTGAAAAGGTAGAACGCAAGAAAAATACATGAGACTCAAAATAGGAAATCAATAATGCAAACACTTGCATTAGTACCTTGTTATGACAACTGCACCAGTGCATTTCTGAATCTGCAAAAGTGAAAGAGAACTTGTAAAATTGCAAACATCAATCATACCATACCAAGATTTTCTTAAAGCATGAAATAAAGATGCAAATCAGACTAAATTAAATCAAGGATTCACCTCTTCTTGTGTTTGACGTTTAGTAAGTTTGTATCTTGCGGTAGGTTCTGCATCATTTATTACAATCTCTCGAGCTATTAGCTCATCTTGAATTTTTGGCTGCAAGGACAAGAAAAAGTCAAGCAACACAATATACATATGGACCAATGAGGATGCAGCAGAACTTGTAAGAAGTTCTGCTGACAAATTGAACTTAAACAACAATACTCTAAAACCTCAATACATCACTTAAACTAAAAAGCCAAACAGATTAAGCAGCCTAGCACATAGGTATTCACGTTCAATAAAAAATTTGTTACAAGAAAAATACCTGATTTAACTTTTGAATAATTGCAGCCGCATTTTGTGGGACTGCAAGTGATTGTACTAATTGAGGAGGATAAACAAATGTTGATGGAACTGAATTTGTCAAAAGAGACCCAGAAAATGGAACAGCACCAGGAAGAGTGGTCCCCAAGATAGTATTTGGGGCCAATGGCACACCTGGAACTGCTATTCCAGCTGATAGCAGCGGCTCAGCAGGCTGATCCCACTTTCTCTTTTTCCTGTCAAGTATTTTTGGAAATTTGCTTTAGAAAAAAAGAGAAAGAAATACTTAAGCAACCAGGTTTGGTTCCCTCAATCGTATATTAGCTGCAACTTTCTGTCACTTCCACATTAAAAGCATGGAAATTGCAACTTTATGCATTCCCAACAAATGAGAACTTAGATATACAGCAGTCTTCCCTTTGTGTTTTAACAGATAAAGAGATAAAATCACAAATTTCAAGCCTCAAACAGAGGTTCATCCAGAACTTTAATAAACATAGCCAAATAAAAGCATCCAATCTATATTTATACGCTCTGGTTCTCGTGGAGAATGATATGAACTCATATCACATAAGACAATATAGTACTAAGATAATAAAAACAATCTAATCCTTAAAAGTATCCCACCAATGACGCAGCAAAATCTCCGATTCATGTGTTTGCGTTAGCAAGTTATCATACTAAATTTGACTCTGTTCTTCCGAGTGACAGAGAGCTCCTTTTGCAATAAGCCACTATACAACCAATTTCACCAGTATTTAATCCCAACAACAACAAAAAGGAACACAAACTCGATTAGATAGGATAAATTCCGATCCGTAAAAGGGCATCGGAGTGAGTTCTAGTTTGAACCGAAAACCGTGAAGAATTAATCGGGCACCATGAACCACACTCTTCATCGAAATCAAAACAAATCATTGACCCTCCGAAACCCAAAACTTGCTTATATCATAAATTAATATTGAGCAGATTCAAATGGTAGAAGTATTAAAAAATCCACGTAAGGGTTTCCAGAAAGAAACACCTTTGCCTCCCGACGCTTGTCGCCACCGCCGATTCATCGGGATCTTTAGGGCTCCTGTCTTCCGTCATCGCTCTACCACCAAGATACCAAACACGATATCAATAGAGGATCGGAGAAGACTCGGAACAGACTGGAAAAGGGTGGAGGGTCAAAGGGGCAAATTCCGCCAGCACAACAGCGGAGACAGAGGAGGAGGGAGATCTCGTTAGGGTTTCGCCTTCCCGAGAAACGAATAGACAGACCATTATGGATCAGCGTGGGGGTAATTTGGGAAATTTAAGAAGCCGTCTCGCGGCCGATCATCTCCGTTTGACGTCGCATATATTGTCGCATGCCCAACCGCGATCTGCCCTTCCCTTCCTACGTCAGGTAATCTCGTTCGTCCACCAACATCATCGCGTAAGAACCAAGACACGTGTAGGAGTAGGACGGCACAAGCTAGGAGAGTTCGAGGGTTCCGGAAACTTCGCGTGATCTTGAACCGTCCATTTAGCATCATCTACGGCAGGAGATGACCAGATAGGACGATGTTGAAATAACAGCGCGGTTTCCTAATAACTGCGAATTAATCTCGTCTCCGTTGGGAACAGATATCTATTTAGTAATGAGTTACATAAGTAATACGTCTCGGGTTATTAATTTCCTATATGAGGTAATAAATTTTCTTTTAATTTTAAGTAAAAACAAATCTAAAAAAATATCAAAAAATATTCTTATTTAGGTGGATCAAATCACATTCAGAATTTAGGCATTTTTTAGAAACAAATTGGAGATTCAAAAGAACAACACAATAAATTTGCATGTGGCGCCTTACGTGGCTGCCGCAAGCCGCCAATAAACGCATCACAAAATAATTATTATCCCTTAATCGAGATTTTGCAATGGAGGCTCGTGCTTGCCATTGGCTATCAACGTCGGCCCAACAATGGGCCGACAAGCATGCAAAATAAATAGATTTTGGTTATTTTTATTTTCTTCCTCGCAGAGATCTGATGCAGTAGAAGGAAATGCGATGATGTCAGCATACCAGCTCAATCAGTAGGTATAAAGTAAAAAACTTGGATCCAGTTGGGTTCAGCCCAACCACAAGTGTGTCTGCCACAAGAACAATGCGTTAGAAAATAGCATGACCATGCTGGGTTTAGGATTTCGATATATGATCAGAGCTTAAATTTTGCACTAGCTATTAAACATTCAGAAATGCTCACTGCTATGCCTGCATGATTAGTGAATACATATATGCTGATAGAACAACAATAGAACATTCACTCTCTTGGGAGGGACATTGCTTCAATCATCTTCCATCCTAAGCTTACGAGTTTCACCATATATATATAAATGAGATTTCTCCGAGCATGAATCCTGCCCAAAGAAGTTCCAGCTTTTGATTAGCTTTAAAGGATTTGGTGTAAAAAGAGAAAAATATCACATGCTCACTTGCACACTGGTGCTTGGGGTTTCACTTGATTGCCCAAAAGTAACAATTTGTTGGGTGTAATAGCAACATTGGAAAGGCTTGAGACTGGTAAGTATAACTAAGAAATTTGAAGACTTGTGGAATCCTTGCTGCACGGAAGAAGACAGTAATTTATGCAATAGTCATGTGATCTCTCTTACAAATTCATAATTCCTCCTACCCCACTATTCAACAAAACCAAACAATTCATAACAATGATTTCTCAATTTAATTGGACTATATCTGTTACTATGATACACAAACATCAACTGAAAGGCTTTAACTTGAAAACTATTTTTGCAAAGAAAAAACACAGAAATTTCTAATTAGATAACACTTGGGACTTTCTATCTTATGTAACCTCTAATTTGATAACAGAAATCCACGTAGTGCCTTATAGAAATTGGAAATATAATACCAAGACCCAGTTAAATTGAAATACAAGATTACTTTGAGCTTATTACCAATATAGAATATAAATATATAATCTAAACCAAAATTGGTACCAAAAGGCAATCAAAGCGGCTAGAATCACCATGAAATTGAAGTATAGAGAAAGAAGCACATACTATAGAGAGAATTTTGCACCAAAGTTGGAATTAGTACAAATATGTCCTCTTCAAAACCACCATAATTTGTCAACCTTAAATGACTGGATCTAAAAACTCAGCAACCAAATGAAATATTGTTTGGAATTTAACCATAACTTGTATCTTGTGCAGATAATATGTCACAAGTGGTTTGTTGACCGCATTTCTCTTCAAACATTATACAAAGCTTTGATGAACTAATAAGAAGAAAAGCTGATTGACTATTTGCATTGTTCTACAAGCACAAGCAAAAATGCACTCCCTAACTGAAGAACATCAATTAACTGAAAAAAAATCATGGTATATTCTAGGAATTCTGGCTACCTAAAGACCATTCTACTTATTGACAAAATGTTAGTCATTACCTTAATTGCATAGCATTCCAGGTGCATATCAAGTCAAAACTGTGCAAGATCTGAAAGAATCAGCGAGAATGCTAATGTCCAGATTATGACCTGAAAAAGAAAAAGGATAGATGACCCTAAATACCACAAACTCCATGAAGAGAAACAAAATAAAATGTTGGTTATGATTTATGAGCTTTTCCTATGAAAACTATCTTGCTCATTTGCTTTTTTCCTTGATGCCATTTGCGAGCTGGTACAATCTCATATATTTCTCTGACTGCCTGCCAAAAAAGTACATGTCTGTGGAACTAAGTTCATGTATGAACACAATTAACCATAATTACAGATGTCTAAGATTATCATACAGTAGTTAGTAGCATGTCTATTGACGGTATAAATTGAATTACATGCCAGAGTTTCTTGTTGTGGCAAACAATTAATTTAGAAGAAAATATTTATTTTGTTTATATGAATAAATCACAGTCATCTATTGTTATCAATTGTTGTATCAATTCGTGTTTTATAAAAAATAAGACGGAAATATCAATGAGAGTGCATGATGGATCATGATTTTATTTATCATGTAACAATGCTGGACATTATGCCTATTTAAATTAGTTATTTTTACCTCTACTAAAATAATAGCTTATTTTTTTTAACAACTTAAGCTTGAGCTCAAGCTATTTTTTCCTGATTTAAATTAAAACAATAGCTTGATTTTGTAACAACCTGAGTTTGAACTCGAGCTTGGCTCATTTCATAGCTCAGGCTCAAGCTCGACTAGTTTGACAAGATAAACAAACTACTAATAAGCTGAGCATGTGCTGCCCTGGATCAAGTCTAGGAGCTCGATCATCATTTTCAAGCTCGACTAGAATTTCAATCATGTCTGAATTATAACCCTATAGTCAGTGAAAGGAGAGGAGGAAAGCAAGTAGGGACAATATTTACCAAGTATTAGCATCCAAACTGCTTTTGAAAATGCTGCTCATGATAATTCACTTGTACAACCACCTCAACGTCATTAGCCGAAGGCCAAAATAATTTATTTAGTAGTAGCACCAAAACTGCTTCATATTGCATTTTATGGATTTCTAGGAAATCATTGTGGTTGAAACATATATTTGTTCTTTGGGACCTCCAATCAACTACTCAAGTCTTGAACGTCTTCGTATCTTACTTATGAAACTTCAACTAGGATTAGGTTACTTAAGAAATTAATCATTGCATCATCTCGTTCAATCAAACCACCTAATATTATATCTAGGTTCAGTACACTATTTGCTCAATCACAATCTGAACAGAAAGGGAAGGAAGATATTATCCTAAACTACATGCTTATTATACATCTGAGTACAATTGTTAAAAAAGAAACATCATCAGTACTTGAAACAGATTATCATCTCAAAAAAGATAGCTTAAATAATTGTTTCCAAGGAAGATGGACAAATTGACAGTAACTACTCAAATCTCCGCTTACAAAAGTTGTAAAACAAAGGAGAGGAATGAACAATAATGAGCTCTGCATTTTATGGAATTATAAAGTTAACCACTGTTGAAGGCGTGCTTCTATAAAGAAAAAAGATATAAAGAGTCGATTGTTGTGTAATGTTTTGCTGATCAACATAAAGAAATTCTAGCTGAGTGCATGCTCCACAGTGGTGCTCCACTAAAGCTAATCCAGACAATGCAGAACTTACTCTTTTACCCTATTTTGAATATAATGCGATACTGAAAATTTGCATATGAAATATATTGTTAAACTTCTTCAATCTTATCAACTGTCTTTTTTTCCCTTAGTGATGTACCTATATAGGATGATTAAAATGGTTATTAGAACATTTACAATATAACCATTGTATGCAGACAAAAAAAAATACAAAGAATACTTAAATGCAGTTTAATGAATCACATGCTCCCAATTCTAGATACTTTTCTTTGTGGTTCATAATATCAATGACAAACCATGACCACAAGGTGAGTGTGCATGTCTATATCACAGTACCACCTACATACAAAGAATGCAATTTCGCCTGAAACTGGTGCAGGGCTTACCTCCTGATAAGCCATGTGAACCAGGCAGTAACCATGTTTCATCTTTCTTTTTTTTTCTATCCCTAAAACCCCCACCCATCAACCCCCAAAGCCTCTCGTGACCTGCACCACACACCACAAGCTGCTCAATGCCCACCTCCCACTGTACACCGATGGTACTCCTCTTGTCCCGATCCTCGTCTGCCGCTGCCTCCTCATCCTTCTCCACAGCCATCTCCTCCTCATGTACCTCCTTGCCCTCTTCTTCTGAGCCACTTCCTCTTCACCTCCTCCTACTCCTCTTGTTTTCTTCCTCAGCCTCCTCCTCCCTGGTACCACCGGCATACCATGTGTCATTACACTGTTTAACACAGGACTCATACCAGTGTCAGCAACCAGCACTGGTCCGGTACCCAAAATTGCAATACTTGCCTACATGTCTGTACGTTATTTAGGAATATGCCGATACTAGGAATGCATGTTTATACACAATATCTAGGCATGATATAGCATGAAGCGAAATCCATGTTGCACTCTTGGGTGCCCATGGTATAGACTTCAAAAGTCGTAAAAACTTGCAAGAGATATGTAATGTCATAGCTGTTCAGATTTATTTTTTACATGCCAAAAGATTTTGTGGTGTGGAGATATCTGGTGCTAAGCTCAAGCCTTAAAGCTAGCAAATAAGGAAATTCAAATAACAATCATGTCAACTTTGGTAATGTACACATTTCAGATAAGACAAAACTGTGGTAGTATGAACTATGGCTGCAGTCTCAAAAGTGGATAGAGGTAGGTAAGTTTATGCAACTTTCTTAGCATACCCATAATTAGTCATAGACAAAAACACATTTAATTATTAGAAGAAACCTGGAGAGTATGAAGTTGATCAGAGTTGAGGACATTTAAAACCCCTTTGCAGCGATAGACATCCATATTAGATTTCTTCTCCCATAGAAGATCCTCTAGCCAAGAACGAACCTGCATGAAAATAATGTCAACTAGAGGAATGCAAGACCAACCTAAAATTATCTTCATTGCATCATAATAAAAGTTGCATAAAGTAGCATTGTTTTTTGCAATAGCATGGGTTAATCCATGATCTAGTAGGCATCTTACAGGAAAAAAAAAAACTGAGACCAATATAAGCTGATACCTCTGTAGAAAACTTGTAATAGTAGTATAAAAGTCTCAAGTCTCAACTCATATATTTAGAAAAATGAATTTATTCTGTGCACTTCATCTCTGCTAAGGGCCACAGCCACCATTGATCTGATAGACATCATATCCTTTTCTTTGGAAATTTAATTATTGAAAAGCATATTATCTGTCACACATGCTGCCTTTAGTTTATGAAATAATCACATGGAACAATGCTCCATGGTTTGAATCAAATTAATCAAAGTGATTATCGATTACTCAGTTGGATCTTAAAGCATCAATGTAACCTGGTGAATTAATTGAAAACCTGGAACTACTTACCATGCATTAATAATTTGAAATATAGACATTAAAAGCTAGTTAATGTTCTATTGTCACTAAATGACACAGAAACAAGCAAAAACAGATAATATGATACTAGTGCTTGCATCCAACTGCTATTAGGGATCTTAATGGAAGTAAGAAGTACCAGAACTAAAGAAACAGGCACCCATGTTGCTGGTAAATAAGACCCTACCATATCTAAATCAACTGGTTGCTCCTCATAAATGCACAATGTGCGAAGAGTGTTATCATGACGGCTTCTGCTAAATGTAGATTTACTGTCTTCTAAAAGTTTCTCCAGATGAGCTATATTCTGATATAAATATACAAAAACACCTTAATCAAGTTTGTCCTGAGTCACAGATTCAATTGGGATACAGAGCATTCATCTTCAAACCTTAGCACCATAGGCCTGCCGATCCAAAATTTTACACAGATCAACTTGGCAACGAACACTGTGTATGACAGTGGCAAGTGAGTTGATATCATAGATCTTCTTTTCCAGTTCTTCCAATATGGATGAAGTATCAAGCCCATAACCCTCTTGCAAGACCAAATCAACTTTGTTTAAAATCACGACATCCTACATTGAAGAGAAGGGATATTAATGAAATTCAAGATAACAATTTTTGCATTTCCTTCTTCAAATTAATTCAATTCACAAGTGAAAGAAAAGAGGAAACACCATACATGTAGCAGTCCAAAGAATACGGAAATAAATGACAAATTAAAATTGCAACTGAGTAAGCAGAGGAAATACAGCGAATGCTATCTGAAGGAATGCTTCAGGAAAGAAAGAAGACTTAAGATGCTCCTCAAGCTGTCGTTGTAAGTTTTTGGCATCCACAACCTACTTGGGGAGGCAACAGAAAAGTCATAAATGAGTGCAATAAGTAGGAAAATAGAGTAGCATTAAACAAGTTTTACAGACTAGGAAACCTCAGATATTTGACAGGAGGATTACTTAGATAAGAATAGTTTCCATTCTGGTTTACTCAAGAGAAGAAGTTGAAGAACTTCATGGACAAATGTATATATCTGAGATAACCAGTAAAGAAAGACCAAAATTTCCAGAAGTATATGAATATTGAATTATATTATTGTATACCATCTTGCAAAAGAAAAGTTGTTTAACATAACTTTCACAGTAACCAAGCACTATAGACAGTAGACACCACTTATGTGCATCATACTTTGACTTGTATATGACAGATAGCAGAAATTCTATCAACTCGACCGACATGGGAAATCATCAGAACAGTGAACATAAATAAACATCAAAGCACATAAAATACATACTGCAGTAAGATGTGATTACCTATTGTCGCATGGTAATCAAGTAGGGGATAAGCAGAACAAACTAGTATATCAATACAATCAATCTGACATCAATTACAAACACAAAACAGACCCTCGTTTCATTTTCCAAAGAGAAGAGTAACTGGTTATATGAAATAAGCAAACTCACTGTGATTATAGAATCAAGAGTAATTTCTGACTCCAGCTGATCATCCAGCCAAAGAACAGAGGCAAGGGGAGCAGGATCAGCCAGTCCAGTTGTCTCCAACAATATATGATCGAGTCTGAGGCAGGAAAACAAAAAAATTACAATATAATATATGTACCTCATGTCTTGAAGAAGGATGGGAAGAAAGAATTAATTGTTTCCACATTTCCCCTTTTTTTTTCTTCCTTACACCTCAAAAATCAGATAGGCAAGCTCAGTAGCAGAGACATCCAAAAAAAACAGTACCTGGGAAAATTTTACCAACAAGGCATCCCTATGGATCTATTACACAACATTACTAACAAATGTAGAACAGGTTGTAGCATGATGGCCCATGAAGTCTAACCTTTCTTTCCGCTGAACAAGCTGCTCCAGAGCTTGTACAAGGCTGTGCTTAACGGTGCAACAAACACAGCCATTGGCCAACTCCACCCATTCCTCCACAAGCGCACCACCTTCACCCTCATTGATCATCGCCCTCTCTACTCCTATCTCCTCTCCAAACTCATTCAATATCACGGCAATCTTCTTTCCATGTTGCGCATTCAGGATGTAATTAACTAACTGGAAATTCAGAATACAAGCAGCTTTATAATCTGTTCCCTATGTTTAGGTATAAACTTGCTAATAATAATTTTCAGCATACTTTTAGAAATAAAATGGGCATCTAGATGAATTCTCGGACTGCAAATATCAAACTCTTGATGTGCGATTACTAGTTTCAGTTACTGTACAGAATCGAACAAAAGCGAGCAGGGAGGCGAAGACAACTTCCTGGTTTCCAAACTATAAATGTGAAAGCCATGAAAGAGTCCATAAATCATCCAACTAAATTAATTCATTTCTTTGCCCATATAGACTTTTCTTCTTAGAAACAAAAGGGAGAAAATATTACATGGCACAACCCTAATTAACCAAGAAATCTTAGCAAGCTGAAGTCGGAATAATCAATCTATGAATTACTTTGGCGATGGAAGGACATAAGACGGACCGTGGATTTGCCGGCGCCGAGGTACCCGGTGATGACAGTGACTCCGACCGGAGATTCCTCCGAGGTTCCCCGCTGTACATTTTGGGAACGGTAGGAACGTTCCGGAGGATTACTCTCGGGTTCTTTTCCAATTCGGACGGCGAGAGGCGGGGCGTCGTCGTCGTTCTCCATGGCTGAAGCAGCGAAGAGTGGTGTTTACGATATCTCGGCGATCGAAGTAGCTAGAGGGAGAAAGGTAAGGAAGGCGGCTCCCGAGGAATTATACAAGGTATTGCAAATCACCGTCAAATCAAAATCGGACGGCTAAGAATCTCTGGGCCACCACCCTCCCAGACAACCATATGGCTCCTTTAAGAGCAATCCATACTATGCCCCATATTCGTACCGCCGAATCTACCAAAAGGCCAGCAGCGGGACCGACCATCAATCAGCACCAGAAGAGAACGGTGCGGTGGTAGACGGGTGGGTAGACGGATTATTCGTGTCTCCTTTTGATAACTTATACTAATTACCAAAATAGTTCTGGAAATTGGAAAGTGATTTATTTCTCTTGACGTGCTGCCTCACCATTCACAATTATTTAAGAGCAACTCAAGTCACCCACGAACCTACCATTGAGCTAACTGGATGCACGTGTAAGCCTCAACTAGTGAACCAATCATTTTCGAGGTTAGAAGCCATGCTTTATTCTAAAATATCCGTCATTAATTTTTATCTTGGACTGATCCTTTTTTATCACTTGATAAAAACATCCCTGCGCTGCATCAGTCACCCACGGCGAGTGGCGCCACGTGTCGCCTTCGCCCCAACTCCCATCGCTCGCGGCGTCGCCCGTCGCCTCCCACCCCTCCTCCCTTCCCGTTTACCCTTCCCTCCACCCATTTCTCCTCCTGGCCTCCTCCTCCCCCCTCCCCTCTCCCGCCGCCCTAGACTCCCATCGTGAAGACAACACGGAGAGTCGGCTACGCATCGTCGTCGTCGACGCAGTTAGCACCCTAGTCGCACTGCTCTCTCACCCAGACCCCCGGCTCTAGGAGCACAGCGTCATCCCCATGTTGGACCGCTCCCTCTGCGACAAGAGCAAGACCCTGATCATCGCTGTCGAGGGGATCCGCCCCCTCGTTCGCGCCCTCTGCACCGGTACCTAGTCGCCCGCGAGAACGTCGCCTGCGTCCTCCCCCAGCTCGACGACCTCCGCACCGTCATCAGATGCTCCGACGCCATCCCTCCCCTGGTGGCCTTCCTCGAGTCTAGTGGGTCCCGCGCGAAGAAGGACGTCGCCTCTCCTCTCCTCTCCTCTTTCCGAGCTTCCATAACCCTTTCTAGTCTTCCCTATAAAAAAACCCTCGTGCGTTTGCTGGGAGCTGACTACACGTGTAATGGAATACCGATTCGTATTTCCCTCAACTCTGTAGCTCTCACAATCGACACACTAACGACGAGAGCTCCGCCTCTAGGGTTTTTTTTACCTTGTTTCGCCGTTGGTGTTATGATAGAGATATACATGAAAATTTAATATTTGAGGATTAATTATAAATTTGAATAGTTATTTGATTACGTGATTTGAATACATGATCAAAACAAATCTTTTTTAAAAAAATTATATAAATATTTGTCTCGAATAAATGTATTATCTCGAACAAAAAATTTCTCTTCCTTGTTGTCAAACAATCTATCGTTAGTATATCAACGATAGCATATGTTGCTCTGTCGTTGTTAATCGACGAACTTCAAGTCATTACAATTATTGTATCGCCTCTCCTTATAGCTTATTTCTTACTGTGTCAAACTCCGATCGCTACTGATTTCCTATTCTGCCAAGCGATCTTCGTTGATCCTAAACGAAGCCTCTCTCTTCTCCCCTTACCAACGAAGCGATATGTGCTGCCCTTAATCCACCTCGAGAAGGTCATTGGCTTATTAACCGTAATTCCTCACTACTACTAGATAAAAATTATAAACAATAAGATAATAAATAATAGATAATATATAAATTATATGTTACACATTATTTGTAATAAAAATATATAATTCTTTATATTCAAAAGATTTTTTAAGTAATTCATATATAGAATTTCATGTGGTAGCAACATGCCTAAAAAATCTTTTGGATCTTTTACTGTTTAGTTTATAAAATCTAGCCCAATTACTTATCAATGACCCCACACACGAATGAAAAAAAAAAAAAGTCTCAATTTAAGAACTCTACAATTTCAATCAAGAAAGAAGACAAGTATTGAAAGAAAATTCAATCGAGAAATAAACATGACCAATAGAATAACAAGTAAAGATTGAGAGGTAAATTAATTTTATAGTGGTTCAATCTTTTTAACCTATGTCTACTTTTGATTTTTCTTTCCAAATGCCGCCAACATTTACTACTAATTTTTCTTTCAAATAGTGAAGATTAACAATCCTTCACAACATTCTCATTTTCAAAGCTGACGAAAAAGTCTTTACACTTGATTATTTTTAAGAATCTCACACATTTTAAATTTAGTAACTCAACTAGAAACTCAAGAAGATAAAACTCAAACAAAGCTTGATTTTAATATTTTAAAAGCTCAAGAATTATTATCTCTCAACCCCCAAAGAGCACCAAAATATGAGAAGCCCTAGCTTTCCAACCTCCATGAAGCCAGAAGAAAAGAAAGAATTTGATAAAATATAGTCATACCTCCAACTATATCCCCATCTTTCTCAAGTTTCCATCGTCAAAACTTTATCTAACTGTTGTGAGAAGTCTCAAACCTTCATAAGAGATTCCAATAGTAAAAAAAAAAAAAACTGATAACAATACTCAACCTGTCGAGAGTATTCAGATAATATTAAAAAACAACATACATTCTTATAGATGTCTTTTTTAATCGTATTTTTATTTTGTTTCTTTAGCCCTTATAATTGTTACTTTTATTTTACAAATAATAAATAATATATGTTATTTTTAAATTATATATTTTTTGGCGATATTTTTTTCTCCATTAAAACTTTTATATGAGAGGTGATATCAGATTAATGGCTTGCTGATTTACTCATTGTGATCACTGAGCTGGCAGGAATCACTGTAGTAGTTTGACGTTCAACTGCTGTTACTGTGTTTTCTCGTCCATTCAGCTCTGTTTACTCCTACGTGGCCGCATAGATATAATAAATCTATTTATAAGCATCCCACCTCCCTCTGTATATAAATAATTCTACCAATCCGACAAAAAGCAAGCAAGCAGCTTAGCGTCGTCGATATGCTGCAATACCCGAAAATAAAGAGCTTTTATTTAACGATCAATTAATGAGCTCTTTTAATTGCCATTCCCGTACTCCCGCAAAATACGAGGAGGGTAGTTTAGTAAACTCCATCGTCTTAAGACGCGCTTAATAGACGCGCACCCACACACGATAGAAAATAATAATAATAACAACGAAAAAAACGTGACGGACGCGAGCAGTTTGCCCTCTTTTGGTCCTCGCCGCCAAATTCACTGATTTCCATCCCAGATTCCCCCTCCGATTCCTCCTTCAAATCTCTTAACCCAATCCCGTGCTGATCCGGCCTCGTCCTCCGCTTCCGATTGGTACCCCATCTCGCCTTCCTTTGATGTGCATGACGGCTTCTAGGGTTAGGGTTTCCGTGCCTCGATTTCGATCCCCATCTCCGGATCTTGTTTCATCAATACGTTCTTCGATCGGCCTGCTGCCTTCGCCGTAGCTCGATTGATCCCGATTCGCTCTTTGGTAGGTAGATCGAAATCGAATCTAGGGTTAGGGTTTGATTCGGGTTCTGGATCCGCTAGGTTGCTGAGACCCGTTTCCTACATCTTTTCTTCCATAATCTTCGTCTGCATTTTGCCGCGTTTCCCCTCTTTCAATCTATTGTTATCTTTTGTGAAGCCGGAATCTCCCCGATTCCGCCTGTTTCTCCGGGGGTGGGGCATATCACGACCATCTTTAGAATCAATCGATAGGTCTTATTTCCGGAAGAAATTAGGACCTAGGATTTGCAATTTTTTTTTATCACTTTGAATTCTGGGAGTTTCAGCTTGTTGGTAGGTTAATACATATTTTTCTTCTTGTTTTTCTCAAATTTCTTTAAATCTGTGTTATATAGCAACCTAAATTTTGTTGATTGATGTCCCAGGGCACACTAGTTCTTTTTGGTGGATTACTCCTTAAAAGGTAAATAGCAGTCACGAAATGCAGCAACCTTCGTTTAGTTTTATGTCATTCTTAGCTAAATTAGATTTACATTTTTGTCCTAAACAAGTTACTTACGTTATTGAAAGAATAGTTAAATTAGCTGCAGCAACTTGGTTTTCACATTTCATAATGTTGACAATTTGGAAATGGCTTTCACTAGTATTACATGTCTGAACACTTGAATTATTTGAATGAAGGTTTGCCTGTTCTGTTTGCTATTAGGTTACTTATACAAGAGAACAATTTACTGGGATGTAAAACTCTGGTTTTTGCCCATTGATATCCAATTACTTCTATGGATTTAGATACTGGTACTGGAATCCTTGCTAAAATCTTCTTGTACTGGTGTCTATCAGGTAATACAGTATGGTTCAATGTGTACTGCTGAAAAGATTTAAAATATATGAGATATCTGTAATTTATTGGTGTGATCGATACATGTCCTTTCCGATATGGTTTTCGACTGGTCAAATGAGTATATAGTGTTACAATTGCCTCCTTGTTTTTTCAAGCAAAAATGGCCTTGTTGGTATCAAGTGTTGTCCTATGGATGGAAGTCTTTATGCTGATTTGCTTGATCATAGTGTTGGGAACATTGAATTAAATGACCAATGCAGCAATAATTTTTTTCATTTACAAGACAGTTGTTAAATTGTAGAGGTATATGATTAACATATGGTAGTGCCAATGAACTTGTACAGGACATACATTATCATTGTTTGTGAAATAGGCTATAATTAAGCTGATACAGTATTTAATCCATCACCTTTCTTTCTGTAAATGCATAATGCTGAATGCCCATGCCTTCTGTCAGGATGATTGCCGCCAATAAAAAGAAATCTAATTGTCTACACAGAGGAAAAATTCTGCAGCACACAAATGCAAAATGAAAATATAAAATATGAACTGGGTTGCCAATTCTTTTCATTTTGGCTATTTATTGGAGGAGTCTTTTTGTGTTAAGCTCATTACATTTTGGCTATTTATGGATAATTTATCATATAAGGATATTCGTTGTTGTGGTCTTTGGGTTGCTCCTTCATTGTTTCTTCTTGGGGCATTTTGGTGCTGAAGATGTATTTTCTTAATATGAAAAGCTTGTTCTTGATATTTCATTATTTCTCATTGATGGCTTCATTTTTCCTGTTGCTTGTAAATGTAAATTCACTGTCTCTATGCACTTAATTTGCTTGCTTTAGCTTTGATTGGATGGTAGTTCTCTTTCTGGCTATTTGAGCATTGGTGACCGTGAAAGACAAATTGCTGGCATGTTCTTTTCTAATTTCACCTTCATGACAGATGTGAGCATTTTTTTCTTCTGTATTCCAACACTGCAAAGTTGTTCAGGTGGATGATGGAGGGAAATTTAGGAAAATTTAATCGTTGCAAAGATTGGTAAATTTTGATGGTGTATAGTATGGGTACTTTTAGGACAAAGGAGATCTTTTTCAAAAGCCATAGCCATAGACCTAAAACTCCAACTATCGTAGTGCTCTCGAAGGACTTGCTGGTGTCATGCGATCTTTTGACAGAGTAAGGCGTGCTTAAATTTGATGCCGAATGATGAATTTGTTATTAATTGGAATTTTCTTGTGCTACTTAGACTTGACATGTGACACCTTATAAGTTTTCAGAACTTGATGAATAAGATAATTTAAAGTGTCAGGCATGTAATATTTTAAGAAACCATGTGTAATACTATAAGGAACCATTTGTTTTATATATTCACAGTATAAGCAGACATTATCGCTAAGAAGTTGAGAATTACAGTGTCATAAATCTAGAAGTGGAACAGTGTGGATATCTGGATGAATTGATCAGGAGTCTTTAATATGCCTCTGAATGTTATTTTTTGGTTATGTCTGGATGCTGACTAAGACCTTTAAGTAGGAAACATGATTGATTGTATGTTGGATTTATATAGTCAAAAAGATCATTGCTTGTTTCTTAGTTATTGATAACATATACTATCATCCCTATAGTCTATTTTTTTTCTAATTTGCCAGAGTTTCATGCCTACTTCTGATTACTAGACTGGTACACACTGGACTTTGACCAGATGTGTTTTTGGGTAAGTCTTTGTTGTTTAATTGCTGCTGATGGACTTAATTATAAGAATCAGGTCATTCTTTTGATCTACAAGATTTTGTTCTCCTACATTAGAATAAGTAGTCATCGAACCACGTTTCAGTGTTTTGCTTGTATGTTTTTTTTTTTTCCACTTTTTTATCTGGTTCAGTTTGTATGGAACAGTCATCGAGTGAGATGTTCCAAGTTATTCATGAGGTTCTTTGTCAATGTCCAAATTTACCCTCTTTTTGGAATATATAAAAATGTTTCTCCATGTTTTTATCATTCGGGGGCATTTAACATTTGTTTTTTATTTTCATAGAAATTGTTGTTCTCCTAAGTTGTTTTAGTTGTTGGCACCTTTTAGACTTACTTTGCTTGTTACTTTTGTAGGTTAAATATGGTGTTCAACCAAAATGGACAGCCATTTTCTGGTCACATGTCTGACCAATTTGCTTATGAACATGAAAGACATCTGGCTTATGATGATCAACTTTCACCATTTGCTGAAGATTCTGCATGTGAGGCTATCCCTTCAAAATCACAATCTTCTGGTAACTAAAGGGAACACTTAGTATGCAAGTTACAGGGAGTAATTAGCCTACATCTCCTTATGTTTTTTTTTGTTCTTTCCCTGATGTAAAGATGAAGAGCAGAAGGGTTTCTCGAACTGCCACAAAGATTTTGAGAATGTGACTGCTGATCCTCCCTATGACAACCTTCGTAGTGATCTCAATGGCAATCCTAGCTTTTCATGGATGGTGGTCAACAACAGTGAAGTCATTTGGTCAGAAAATGGCAAAAGGCTGTTTTGTGATGACGAAACTTGCCTATATGCAAGGAAGCATTCAAAGCAATTGGGTTCATTTGAAGACAACCGCTTCCTTGCCTTTGAGAAACCACCTTTAGGTAATCTGAATATTGAACTATATTCTTGCTTTAATCAGATAATATATAAGATTCTGAAGCAAGATATTAAAATATTCTGACCTTTTTATGAAAAAATGTGTTTTTAGCTGCTGCTGCTGCTGAGGACTTTAAAGATACAAGAATCTCTGTTGCTGTGGATGCTATTAATCAGGCAACTACCAGCCATTGTGTTGCACAGGGTAATAGCAGAGAAGCTGGTTTGGACACTGCTCGAGAACCTTCCCATCATAGTTATATGGGTAATATCCATCAAGCAGTTGAATTTGATCAAGTTGAAGAGATCTGTTCACCTGTTTTTGATTACTTCAAAAGGAAACATGTTGCTATTGGAGTGAATCATCAGGTTGATATTCCAGAGTGGAGATCTAATAACCATATTGGGGATTATGAGGATTTTGCTTCCACATTGCCTTCCAAGACAACTCCACCGTCATCAAATCATGTAGTTGATGAAGTTGAAAGTGATAGATGGGTCGGGACATGCGCAATGCCATTACCTGAATCTGCTTTATTGGCTTCAAATGTTTTAGTCTTGCAATGCAAGGACTGCGGATGCGCAGATGAGGGTTCAATAAGATGTGTGAGGCAGCACGTGATGGAAACAAGAGAAAAGCTGAAGAAACAGTTAGGTCAGGACAAGTTTATAGAGTTGGGTTTTGGCGATATGGGTGAGGTTGTAGCTCAAAAATGGACCGAAGAGGAGGAACAGTTATTCCATGAAATTGTTTTGTCAAATCCTGCATCATTGGGCAAAAACTTTTGGGATAAACTGCCTCAGGTGTTTCCAGCTAGAAGTAGTAAAGAACTAGTAAGTTACTACTTCAATGTTTTCATGCTTCAGAAGAGAGCTAAACAGAATAGGTTGGACCCCCTGCATGTAGACAGTGATGATGATGAATGGCAAGAAAGTCATCATGGTGAATTTGCAATGGGAGAAGATGAAGATTCTGTAGTGGAGTCTCCTCTGGAAGATGAAGATGAAGATGAAGATGAAGATGATGATGATGCTGGTGAGGAAGATGAAACCGAGGAGGAAGAAATATCTGAAACAGCTGATGACATAGAGAATTGTGATTTTTATGCCCTCGCTAGGAACAATGAAAAAGGGACCTGTGGTGCTGTGAAAGGGTGCATTTCTAGTCAGACAAACCTTATCTCTAACATGCAGTTCACAGAAAGCAGTCTGTATAATTGTACAGAGGAGCAAGACATTCAAGATGATTCATGCACATCCTTTGAGGGCCATTATATTGGTTCTGATTCCTGTGATCCTCTCGGTATCTTTGACCTTCAACATGGTTTGAATGCGGATCATGATTTCTGCAAAGAATACCAGAATGATAGTTTAAGTCGGTTAACAGATGATGGGTTCTATGATGGCCACTGTGATCCAAAAGCATGGGATATGAGTTATAGCTGTGGGGCAGAAAAAGATGATTTCTTATCAACAAATAACCTGATAGAGGAGGTGTTTGGAAAAGAACCTGGCGACGACAAATGAAGAGAAAGGCGGTTATGGTTCATGCCAATATGACTAGTCTTGGATATTTTTTTTTCCTTTTTCCTTGCTTTACCTTGTATCGCCCACTATGATTGATATCCCAATTGAGTAAATTCTTATGACTCCCACTTGGTCTAGGATAGGGATTGCTGGTCGGACAGTGTAGCCTTTCCACCTTTCCTTTGTTATTAGATCGCCGTCTTGTAAAGAAAAGTGTTTAATAATGGAGGAGTGAAACCTCCTCTACCCTCTGGGAGAACCGTTCAGAGGGAGGGGGGGGGGGGGGAGAAGCAAATTGAAACCTCGCCAAATTTAATTCTTAAGATTTAATATCTATCTAGTAGCAAGCAGTGTGTCCAGAACTGTTTCTCGTTATTTTATGTGAGTTCTTTTCCGTAAATATCTTCTGGGTTCTTTGGTCGTTTCATGTCTGCCTTCCCTCCAGATTTCGATTGCAGAGATTCCTATTATTATCTCTTGGTAGCAGATATTTCAATGTCCAAGCGGGGTAGGTTCAGACCCCAAAAAACTCGATCCATGGAAATGGTGAGATCAATAAAAGATTGGACCGATACCGACTTACGCACGTGCCTATATTGGGTTGTCACACGTGGGTGTGAAGCTTTCGAGGCAACAGTTGTCAGTCCGTCAATGCAATATTAATTCAAACACCGCAGAAGTCAACGTTTGACAGGTGGGCGATGTCTTCCCGGAGGCTCCACATTTGAAGCAGTCAACGTCAGCGTTGACCTCAAAAGGCCGAATGGATGCCCACCTGTTTAATGATGCACTAGTTTGTGTTGATAAAGTCAACTGCTAGAAACAAAGGCCCACCGGCGAGATATAATCCTCGATGCCAATTAGACGATTTATTAGGAAGAACTTTTGAATATTAGTTAACAACATAATTTTATTCCTTAAAAATTTTCAAATGATGTCCCGTTTTGATTGATTTTCCGATTTATTTTTCTTTGATAAAATATATATGAATATTTTTTTTTATTTATCATTCTTAATTTAAACAAAAACCTAAAAACTTATATGTATATATATATCTTTCTAACGTTGGCTATCATCTATAGGTATCGCCTTCGAAGCTCTAACAAAAATTTCGCACCTTTTAGGAATATTAAGAACACTTTTTATGTATTTTATATTTATATCTATTAAAAATAGAAATTAGCTATTAGCAATCATGGTTAATAGTGATTTACTTGAGTTATAGTTATATGAACACCAAGTTTAGTTAATAGTCAGAAGGAGATTTCCCAGCTCTGCACAGAGCAAGAAGAAGAAAACTCTCCAATCTGTATGTAGGTGAAGCTGCACAAGCACATTAAACCTCATGCTCTGCCTTGCCAAGAAGGAGGGGCCGCACACGTCCTGCCGGGCCTCATTGAGACATACTGCTCGAGTCTCATCTCAGTGCTAGAAACACACCTGAACGAAGACTAGTTGTCGTTTCCTTGGGAAGCTTGGAGACTTTTGTTCCCGCTAATGGTAGATCTGGTGGCATCCTCGTGGCCTGAAGAGCCGCGTCGTTCATAGCTGTCGCTGTCGCTGTGGATAAAAACCCGTAAAGCCTTAATCTCTTAGTTGAGGCTCCAGGTATGCCCCCCTTTCCTCTTCTCCCTACACAAGATATGCTAGCACTTCTCCGCTGGTTCACCGTAGTCTTTGGGATGAGCGGTGACTCTAATATCATATTGCCTGCAAGTTTGGAGGCAGAACCTTCCACCTTTCTCGGACATCAACTTTCAAAATTTTCATTTTTAGCAATGGCCTCATCTATATAGGTTTAATAATCGATTTGGAACTTCAAGGGTGGTGGTGTTGGCTAGATTGGACAAAGCCCTCGGTAATCAAAACTGGGTTTTCTTTTCTTTCTTTTTTTTTTTTTGACAAAAATTACTCTTCTGTATCTTGCTTGATCAATTTCACATCATGCATCACTTCTCATCGGTGTTTCTTATTTTGTGAATGATGAACCTAAAACCAAGATTCTTACGTTTGAGACATATTGGTTGAAATACCAACAGGTTAGGGATATTATTTGTTCCTTCCGGAGGAACATTAGGGGATCATACAACCTGCTTGTGGACTTGCATGCCAAGTTGTTTTACACCAATCATCACCTCACTAAGTTGTTGGGTCCAGCACATATGCTTGGACAATTGGACCTTTTGAGCCCAAATCAAAGAAAAGAAAAGAAAAGTGAGGCACGTAGTTGAGAGCAAGGTGAGGGAATCGGTGCAGCGAGCGTGCGTGCAGCGAGAGAACGTGGTAGCGCACAACGAGAGGAAAGAACAGAGAGAGAGAAATAAAGGATTCTGAGTTTTCTGCTTGACGATCGATTGTTAAACGTTATTAGTTTTGACCCAAATTATATATGGAGAATCCTTGTAGTAAGCTCTATAATTCTAACGGTGTTGATATGTAGTTTACCCTATTTTCGTGCTATACCTACTTTGTGAAACCTAAAATTATCTTATTACGAGATCCATGAAGATACGTTATTCTTGAGCTAAAATATATGATCATGATATTATTATGATCCTCTTACTATTTTAGAGAAGATTTATTGTAAACCTGTTATTATTACTATTGATAGTGGAAGTTTGAGGTGGACTGCAGTCCCGTAGTTTTTTTCGCATTGGATTTTTCATGTTAAAATTTTGGTCTCACTGTGTGATTAATTTATTGCTATACTATTTATACTACTCTGGTTGATATTTGATATTAAGTTGGTATTTTAACGAGGAACTTATTTTGATATTAAATTGATATTTTTTTCTAACAGAAAACACACTAGGCTGCTATACCTACGTAACCAACTAATTGGTCTAAACAAATAACTTCATATAAAATAGTCCACAAAGGCCAAAATTAAGTGGAACTCGAAAGGTGATAGAAACATTGCCTTCTTCGATAAGATTACCACCCTTAGAATTGCATAAATCTCCTCAAGCTTGACACCGATGTGCTTATCCAATGGATAATAATATTCTCTCTAACTTCTCAAACTAGTATATTTATCTTGTGGCACCCTATGAATCTATTTTCCTCTCATTATTGGGATTCCATTTCTACTTTCGATAAGCTATCAGAACCATTTATTTAATACTTTCCTAAGCTCTTTGATAAGCTATCAGAACCATTTATTTAACCCGATCGATTAATGATACTTCATCAGATGGTAATGTGAAATTTGAATTACTGGGACTCCCTTAGTAATAGCATCGTTGAAGCTTTTAACTTTTTCCACCGTAATCTCTGCCTCCTAGTTGAGGGAAGACGTTTGTTATCTTTATACCTAAGAAGAATAATAATCTAGAGAAAATTAAAGATTACAAACTCAAGTTAATTTCGTGTTTTTTTTTTAAGAATATATACTAAATTTTAGTAACTTTATAGCCATAAAGTATTGTTATTAATATTATTGAGAAGTGATTTGGCCAAACCTTCCATTTCCATCAATCGTTAAACGATTGTATCTATTAGTCAGATAGCATCTTCAGTTATAAAAATACTTTAAAATAATATAAATAATTTAAAATTTTATGTGGTAAAAATATAAAATATCAAAATTAATAAAATATAAAAAATATAAAAATATAAAAATAAATATATACAAAACCTCACTCACATAAAATATGATAAAAATAATATCATCAGCTAACATTATATATATAAACCTTCATGCACATTAAGTAACACATGATAATTCTTCCACATACATATCTTTGAATCAACAAATATAACCCATGGTTCCTTTAGGATTAGTGCTCTTGGAGACTACCCCAACACTGATGGCGTTAATATCACTAACCCGATCAATATCTAGGTTGCCAACTCAATCATCAACATCATTGATGATTGCATCTCCGTCAGTTCGAGCTACACCAATTTGATCATCTTTAATGCATTATATAGTCTCAGTCATAATATCAGCATCGATAGTTTTGACAAGAATGTTAATGAGAAAAATGTCATCGGGTTGATGGTGAGAAAATACACTCTAACCGATACAACAAATAGATCGATGATTAGGATATGACAATCTTCCCCATCTACATTGAAAGTCATCAATTTTCTCTTTGAAGACATTATTATGAACAATATCTATAACCCCATTATTATATATCAAAACTATTGGGCACACAAATGATTACTAATAGAAGATAATTGAAAAAAATATAGAAAAATGATATAAAAAAAAGAGGTGATAGGTGGGAAAGGAGATGAAGAGAATACATATGAGAAGAGGGGTGGAAAGAGAACAAACTATGGAGGAAGGAAGATATATAGCGAAGAGATTGCAAAAGAAATAGTGCACGACGAAAGGAGTCTTGGAGGTGGTGAATTCGTTCTCAAGGAATCTTGGATGATCAAATCATTTGTTGGGTTAGGTCACTCCAATGTGAGAAAGCCCAACAATAAATATTTTAGCCAAATCACTATGATTACATTTTGAAACATTCAAGAGACAAAACTCATACTTTTGCAGCCGCCACTATAAAGAGAGAAAATTTTCTAGCTCTTTCTAATATTCATCCAGCCATTTATCTCTAGCGATATGACAATGAGTTTTTATCAAATCGTACTAATCTTTAAAGATATTTTAGATTTAGCGATCTTCATTTTGAATAGTGATGATCTGAGATCTTCTTCATAGGGTTTTGGCTTCTTAAACAGTAGTTATTCACTAATTATTTTATCACCTATCAGTTCACTTTGACTCATTATTGGGTAATATTCAACCGTTAGATTTGGTTGAAACTTTATCAGCAAGTATAAAGCTTTTGGTTGTGTATTCTGAATGGCAAAGATCGAGTTTGAAGGTCTTTAAGTATCTCTTTTTACTGCTTCAACAAAAACTATGCTATTGGTTTTCTAGTTCAAATAGTTTCATCTCATTTAGGACTGTCATTTATAGTTTGATTTGGTTGATTTTTAGTAAACATATTTTAGACTAGTAGTGTTTCTTTAATCTAAATGGCGGAGATTGCATACGGATATGGTAAACACTTTATGATACTTAACAATATCTATCCTATGTGATTTCTGTTTCTGTTTAATAGGTATTTGAGTTATGGGTTTTAAATTTATTATGGAATAAATTTGTTTGTGGATCTTTGCTACTATGAACAATATTTTCATAATAGAAATTTTAATTTGAATCAGGAGAGGTCCTATGATTTTTATCATTCATATTGAAGGAGTTTTTTACTTAAAAATTATTGATATTCTTGTGTGCTTATGATTTAATTATTCATTGCCTTCTAATATATTCATACAAGTGAGAGAAAAAAAATTGATAATTAATTTTTTTATCCATATATATTTTTATCCGATTTTTCAAGCATCATTTTGGAGGGTGGTTTTCCCTGCTATGTCTCATCAGCGGTCATGGCAATATGTTTGTTGGAGACTCTACACTTAAGTTTTGAGACTCTACGCTTAAGTTTTGGATATATGTTTGTTGTCTTCTCAGTTCTACGTTGTCCAGATAGATCCTTAAATCTTGTAGTGTATAATCATGACAATTTTTATAGGACAAATAATTATACCTGTTTTTGGTCTTTCTCAAAGGAACCCAATTGCTTTGGATTTTATAGATCTGGTTAATCTACTTCTTTCTTTTATAAAAAAAGTGATACGTATTAATTAATATAGTTTCAAGCTATAGATTTGTAAAAAAAAAGTTCATTTTGTTTTTGTAATATATTTAATCTGGTCATTCAAAAAGAAGAGACCAAAATAATATTTTAAAGAGAGAATAAGAAATGGAGGGCTTTTCTTAGTCTTTTTCTAGGAAAATTAGGATAAATCGCCCTAATTTTTCTCTCTCCCCTCCGTGTTGTAAGGCTAACGGTCCAATTTTTCCTTCTCTCCCCCACCCACCGCCTGTTATATAACCCCCAAGTGCGCAAACGAAATGGAGGAAGAGGAGGAGAAAAGGAGTCACCTTTTCCCGTCGAATCGTCTTCGGTGAGAATCTTCTGTCCTCCCCCTTCACTTGACGTCCTGGGAGATACATCCAATGGCCCGGTTTTTGATCTCTAATTCCCGTTTTGTTTGCAGATGTTTTGACCAGATCGAATCGGAGACGAAGAAAAGGAGGAGGCTTCCTCTTGTTCGCGTTATTGACCCTCTCGAATTACATCACGAGTTTAGTTTCCAGACCTCTCTCTCGATTTGAAATTTGTTTCCTTTATATGGTTTTGGTTTTCGACCTCAATCGTTGCTCCTCTGTTTCTTTAGGTTGATACACAAGAGAAGAGGAAGGAGACGAAAAGAGAAGTGGTATGTCTTTTTGCTATGATGTCTTTCTTCAAATTGGGTTTGGAAATTGTGTTTCCTTTGTCATTTTCTTGTGATTTCTTCTGATTTTGACGATATATCTTTTTTTTTTTGTTGGAATTAATGTTGTTCAGGGATCTTTTTGTTGATGTTAGTTGTATTCTATCAACTACTTGGATTATGATTTGAGATTGTCTTCTTCTCAAAAGACTGTCTCAGTCTATGTGACTCTTAATTTGTCTTGGTCTATGTTCCTTGCCTTCTTTGATTATGTGACTTTCTCCTGTAAAGCTATTCCGGTGCTCAAGTACTAAGATTTGCCCTTTGTTTCTTTCAGCCTGACTCTCTACCATTTTCAAACGTTGTTGCTTTAAGATTTTCTATGTTTGGGATATACGTTGGCTTGGGTCTTTCCTCTTTATCCATTTTTCAGTCTTTTTCCATGCTGTATTATTTCTTTTTTTGTGAATATGATATGCTCTTCTTAATGTAATAAGATTTCAGATAATGTGTTATCAAGCCTTGTAATTTGTTGTGTTTGAATATTTACCTTCGTCGTCCTCATATCTTTCGATGAGATGATTTATGTAGTTCATATTCCTTTTCTCCCCCCATTTATTTGGTCTATTACCAGATACTGAATTGGATCACTATTTTTCCTAGCTTATCATTTCTGTAAATGATCATCCTGGTGGGTTTCTCATATATCTTCTCCACCACATGCTTAGTTTTGAGTTATTATCCAGTGGTGAAACTGCTCTTGGATGCATTGGCTTGCTGTGCAGATCTGCATAATCTTCTTGATGGAGTTTATGTTTGTTAATGGTTCTCATTAATATACTCTCTGTCTTGTAAATCCTTCTTTATCTTTATTTATTAAAGTTTACATGATTATTATTCATATCTCTCTTTGCCTTATAGCTAAGATCCATTGATTGCCTTCTGATTGTGTTGGTAGGTACAAAAAAAATGGAGATCACAGTTGACTGGGGTCACTAAAATCCTTGGTTCCTGAATCTGTACCTATCACTTCTTTGCTTGAATCCGACACCACCAAGATGCCTGTATCTAGGGGTGCCAAGCAACGTTCTTCTGACCCTGCTTTATCGAAGCCCAACCCTTTTGATTCAGATTCTGAATCTGAAATGAATCCTAAACGTGGAATGTCTTCCTCTGGCACAGCAACTGGTAAGAAAAATCCGAAAAGCTCCTCTAGATGATGAAAATGAAGGAAGAAAGGCCTCATCTTCTTCATATTCATACTCAGCTTCTGCAGCTGCAAGAAACAGATATAAGAACGATTTCCGTGATGAAGGAGGGTTGGAGAACCAATCTGTGCAGGAACTGGAAAGTTATGCTGCATACAAGGCTGAAGAAACTACACAAAAAGTAAATGACTGTCTCAAGATTGCTGAAGTCATAAGGGAAGATGCTTCAAACACACTCGTGATGCTGCATCAGCAAGGGGAGCAGATCACTCGTACTCATGAAACTGCTGTTAGCATTGATCAAGACCTTAGTCGGGTATGCGTTCTATACCCTTTATATCTCTTTGTGCATCAAATTTTTGTACATTCAAGATCATAATATAGGGACACAAAGTCAATCTGAAAATGAGCTACAAGATGTGTGCAGCGTTCATACATTTCATATGATATTGTTTGTAATTATGCCGGATATTGTTCTTGTTGTATAAGCCGATAGAAAGGTAACTTATTGGTACTCATGGTGGAGATTTCCTGAGTCATGTCATCCTTTGCAGGGTGAGAAACTTTTGGGGAGTCTGGGGGGCTTTTTCTCTAGACCTTGGAAGCCAAATAAAGCTCACCAAATAAAGGGTCCGGCTCCTACAACAGGTATGTACATATAAAAGAACCAGTAAAACAAGACTAATTTTGGTTGGTGTCTGTGCTTGATTTGGTACTCCTTCATTCAGATGATTCATTGTCGAAGAAGGTAAGCCACATGGAACAGAGAGAAAAGTTAGGATTGTCTTCAAAGCCTCAGTCAAATCCACGGAATTATTCTGAACCCACATCTGCTATGGATAAAGTCCAGGTTGGTGTTCTTATGACTTTTAAGATGAGCAGTATCTGGATTATTCGGTATTATATTTGGATTTCTTGTAGATGGAGAAGGCAAAGCAAGATGACACCCTTTCAGATTTAAGCGATGTCTTGGGCCAGCTTAAGGGCATGGCTGTTGACATGGGTTCAGAGATGGACAGGTCGGATACTAATTTGTTCTTCTGAATTTATATTTTTTCTTTATCTACTCGCTCGCACATAAATTCGTTAATGCTATAAATGTTAGCTGGTTAGTGTGAGAATTGATGTTTGTTTGACTAGTTAGTGTCATCTTGCTATAGCATAAATTGATTGAAGTCAATGATAGAGGATTAGTAGTAGAACTGATCTCCGTGCTAGCATTCTCATTCAAATTCTTGAAGGATTTCAAGCTTTCCTACCTCATGTAGCTGTGTAGAGGATGTTGTTGCTTCCTTGCTTTTTGTGTAGCATTTTCTAAGAGACTTTGACAAAATTTACTTTGAGATTTGGTCAAATTCAAAGGTTTTTATTGTTTCCTTATCATATTTTCTAGTGATAAAACATATTATTAGGAGAGAAAAGAGAGCAAAAATTGGATGTTTGATTCCTAGATGCATCTGTGAGCGTACATATTCGCTTGACACGAGGAAAAAATAATAATAATAATCATAAACATAATCACAAATGTTAAGTGAGAACTATTGTCAAACATAACCAATCTTTAATTAAAAAGGAAAGCATCGGTCATCGCATTAGTAATGAGTTTCTATGTTCATGTTAGCCCTATGGATGCAGTATGTATCATCAATGGCTTTTAGATATTTGTCACCTCAGTATTCAATAATCTTTTAGATCTTTTGTTATGCAACCTTTTCCTTCTTCCACAGGCATCTTCTTCATACGGTTTCGTGTGTTCATTTTTCCATGTTCATTTTCATGTAGAGAAATCAACCTTTTTATTTTTGCTTAATGCCAGTGAAATGTTAAGACTGGATGAAACTATAGTATGTTAACTGAGATGAGATGCTAGGTGAAACAGAGAATCGTTTGATTTATTGCATGTACCGTTCACATCATACCAATGTGGTTGGAGCATTTGGCAGTTCTGTGACGCTCATCTCTCTCTTCTTGCATAAAAAAGTTACATATCTTAAAGCTTGATCAAAGTGAAGAAAAAGTTGCTTCATTCACCTTGAGTTCAAGAACTGTTGAGGCAGATCCAAGTTGCCAGGGATAATTTACTGGATATCTCTCTTCTTGCATAAAAGAGTTACATATCTTATAGCTTGATCAAAGTGAAGAAAAAGTTGTTTCATTCACCTTGAGTTCAAGAACTGTTGAGGCAGATCCAAGTTGCCAGGGATAATTTACTGGTTTCTCTGTCTCTCAGATGACACCCCTAATCTTCTGGCTGCTTTGCAGGCAAAACAAGGCATTGGATGCCTTGCACGATGATGTGGATGAGCTGAATTCCAGGGTGAAAGGAGCCAACCAACGTGCTCGCCACTTACTCGGGAAATAGAGCGCAAATGTTCCATCATTGAAGATACCACCAGTCGAAGCTGCAAGTCGTTGTTGTGTTTACATTTACTCCCCCCCACCGACCCCTTTTATTTCTGTCATATGAAAACTTTTCAGCCTTGTACCACACACACCTATTGCTGCACTACATTTTTCCTGCTCATTAATGATTTCTGGAGTTTTCAGCTTTGTACACCTGTTTTACTGCACTCTTCTTCCTGCTCATTAATGATTTCAGCAAAAAGATGATTCATACATATTCCCTACAAATTTCTCTGAACACATGAAAGGTGATGATGGCAGACTCATTTGAGAATGCACATAAGAGTGTGTATTTTGGCATCATGTTAGGAGGCTGTAATCATTTGAAGTTATCAGATTCCTTGAGCTATTATTATGCTCAAACGGGCTGTTTTGTTGAAGTCAAAAACAATCTTAAACTCCAGCTGCGAGTGAGTTACGAGTTATGAGAGAGTCGAGTTCAGAGGGAAGAAAGCAAAATAAGTAATAGTTTGATGGATAAAAAAGAATACAATTGTTGATGCAGAAGCATTGGTAAGATTGCTTGTGTAAAGTCATACAAATGTGTTTCAACATATACTAAATTTATTGATAAATGCAAAATGAATCACATAAAATGCTCTAAAGAGAAAAAATAAACAGAGAACCATATGGATTAACTTTTACTACATTAGTTTCCTCAAACAAACCCCCCCCCCCCCCAAAAAAAAGAGTTACTACATGTTTATTCTCAAAATCCAAACTCAATAACTTTCTCCAAACAAAGTTTTGCATCAAACCTGAAATGAATGTCAACAGCAACATCTAAGCCAAATTGCAAACTACTTTTATTAACTTTTACAAGCACAAAATTCTTTTCTCCTTGGCTTCAGCCAGCAGTGACTAAAACAGTGACAATTATATTTCAGAGAGATGCCACAACAAGTTTCCAATACTAATATTGGCTTCAACATAGATCACTATTCCAAATGTGCCTCGGAAGCATCGTAGCATCAAGATAGACCAAATCATCCACGTAAATATCCACAAAGAACAATTAAACAGCCCTAGGTGTTAATAACCAAAATTTACTTCAGCAAATATTGCTTGAAGATACAGTTGAATACAAAGATTGAACCGTGATTATAAACCCAAAATATTTTGGTTTCCAAGCCGACGAATCTTCTTATTCAGTCAAACATACTGCAAAATAAATCTTAAGACAACCAAAATCACATCAAAGAAAATAAAGTCAATTCTCCACTTTTGAAAATGTAGAGTTCCATTTGCCATCTCATTTGCTAACATCATAAAGTACATAAAGTGCAGCTTGTGCCTTTGGACATGCTTTACAGACACTTGGAAAAAAATAGGTGTCATTGTTGGCACCGGACGCATACTACTGCACAACATAATATTTGACTTGCTGATTATGAAGAAGAGAAGATAGCAGTGACGAATTGGCCACTAGAAATGACCTTATCCACATAAAAAATTTGGATACAGGAAACTCCCTCTTGCTTTGCTGATCCTCGTACAACTTCACGACATTTTTCAACTTATCATTTGTTCTCTGGTAAGTCAAACTTTCAAGTTAACTTATCTGCTTAAGAAACTGGATACAAGAAACTTTTTCTTGCTATCCCGATCCTCACGCAACTTCACAACATCTCTCATCTTCTCAATCAATTGTTCTAGACAATCCACTCCAAAGCTCTGGTAGTCGAGGACTTTCTTGTAACGCTGCTCATAGAGAGCTGCAAAAGCACCAAGGGGAATTGGACAGGAGTAACAAACAAGAAGCTCTTGCGTTTCCTGTCTGATATTTGTAAGCTGGTCCTCAAAATCATAGGTTGAACCTAGAAAAAAATCATCATTCTTCTCATCTTCCAAGGATTCATCAGAGAAGCTACCTAATTGAGGACAGGTGCTGATATCGATGCTCTCTTCCGGAACCCTCTTTCCCTTTTCATTTGTCATCACCATAGCTGGACTACCCAGGCACCTTTTTATATGTCTACCAGCAGAATTGTGAAGACACAGCAGCTTTCTATGCCCCTTCCCGACTACAAATAGTGCATCAGCCATTTTCTGAAAGAGATTCACCAGTTTGTAAGCTCCATACTCTGACACATAGAGCGGCCTCCTAAATACCTTGAGATACTCTGAAGGAACACGTATGAGAGGCAAACTCCCACCAGACATCTCTAGCAGCCTTACTATCTGGCCCTTCAAACCGTGAAGATCTCCTGGTTGAACCCACCAGTCCTGATCCAGGGAAGAATTCTGATGTACTTGAACAGATGGAAGACTTTCACATCTTGAAGAAGTAAAACAAGACCCAGCTGCTAAGTTATTGATATTGTACTCTGATGATTGAGAAGCTCCACTACGTTCTCTAGATACTTGCGAAGGCATACAACTATATGCTTGGTTAAAGTTACCCCAAGTGGGATCTTCGCTTATCGAGAGTCCTTGATAAACAATGGTCTCTTCTCCATTTTCCATGTCAGGGTTATCCTCATTCCTGAAATTCATGATGTAGCCATGGGGAAAAGTCTTTGGAGGCACAAAACCTTCGCCACGGACTACACAAGGCCAGTCCCATACAAACTGTCCTGCATTTCTGAGAGCCGAAGAAACACCGACTCCTGAAGGGATGACAAGGATTATGGTGTATCCACGCTGACCAAGAATATGCAAAGCAGGAGCAAAGTCTACGTCGCCAGATATCAGCATGATTGACGAGGGTGGTTGGTTATCTAGAGCAAAAAGAAACATATCAACCAAGATAGCCTTGTCGGCAGCATCTTTTCTAGTGTTTGGGATGTCTACTAGTTTAACTCCAGTTCTCTGGCAGCCCTCCCTCAATCGTCTGGGGAAAGCATTAAAATCCCCATAAGCAGAGAACACTGTAACAGCTCCCCTAATGAAAGGATGCACTCGTAGAGCGATTCTTATGTTACCAGCAACATCTTCGGGCCGGACATCACTTGGAACCGGACAGTTCTCAATGTCCCAAAGAATAGCCACATGTCCATGCGAGGCCCCAGTTTGCTGGTCAAGTGCTTGAGTTGGTTCTCTGTCTGAATTTATGGAGATGATGCCACTCGAGCTTGATATCCCTGTCATTGTAACTTTCGGTGAAGGACTTTGACTGGCCATTGCTTTATCCTCACAAAACATCTTCAATTCCACTGTGACAAAAATGTTTATGGAAAAGAACATGATTATCAAGCATGAGATCAAAGAGACGTTGAAAGTATGAAACAGTTATACATATCAACCAAATAATCAGACACATATCTTCTGAAATAGATGGCATCTAATTATTCTGTATGTAAGTCAAAATAGCATAGAGAAAAAAAGATATTGTTAAAAAGAAGCATGTGGATATCTCATCATTTAAATGTTTATTATAGTGGACCAACATTATAATGCATGTAACAATAATAGTTGGAGAACCAGAATATATCATTGACTGAAGGTGTCAATTAAGTTAGACAAACTATATTACCCATGTAACACTGATCGGCTCTAATAGCTAATTTAATCAAGTTTATCAGTTGTACATCACTAAATAGTGTAAAAATTACTTGGAAATAGTAAGGTTTACCAAAGTAATTTAATCTCATCTTTGAAATGTTGTAACTTGGCACTTGCTCCATCAAATATGACTAAATAACTATGAACATGACTCATTGCACAACAAGGAAGAGGCTTGATTTTGAGAGATGCATATGAAAGAGGTTGATACCAAACAACTGTCAAAGTACAGTTGTAGCAGAAGTCGCGGTACAGATGTTATAGAAGCATATTTTGCATAGATACATCTATCAGAACTGATGATAACCAAGATATTTATGTATCTCCTCTAAGCATATTTTTGCCACACTTCAATCTTCTATCAGAACTGCACCAAATTGTTCGCACACGAAAACATTTTGTTATTCTATATTTCTGGTAACTTCGTACAGTCACCGCCATTGACTGATGTACCACCCGACATTGTATGATACGGGCGGTAAGTACCGGTCTGCCCATCGTCTGAAATGTGGACTGCTCCATATCGGGTGGTATTTAAAAAGTGGGATCATACTGAGCGATACATGTTTGTACCAAGCAAAACAATCGAAATTTAACCATTACTAACCTATACTGATCGCTAATAGTAGGATTTCAACCGAAACCAATCAAGGGGTGTGATTGATCCTGGTCCAACTGTCAATTGACCGTTGAATTGACCATTGGACCACTTTCTAACCTAGTTTAAACTCTAAATATCACCCCTCCCTCCCCTCTTTCACTCTCTCTCACTCACTCTCTTTATCATTCATTCTTACTCTCTTTCTCCATTAAGGGTGGTCTTTGGTGATTAGAGTTTCAATTGGGAGGATTTACTCATTCTAACAAGTCATTTGGTGGAAGATCTATTAGTTGTATTCTCTTTCTACTTTTTAATTAACTTTTGGCATGATTAGCTCCTTATTAGCTCCATATCAGTGTAATTTTATCAATTTAATGATGATTAATATCATTTTATATATGATTACACACTATTAGGGTCAGTCTCTTACTTTTAATGCCAATGTGGGGGTAATTAGGCCTAAACACAACTTGTTAATATTGTAATTAGTGTCATTCTATCTAATTTAGGCATACTAAGGGCCATTATTCTACTTTTAGTTAGCTTTTGACATGACTCCTTATTAGTGTAATTATATCAAGTTAATGATGTTAAGTGTCATTTTATATGTGATTAAGCACTATTAGGGTCAATCTCTTACTTTTAGTGTCAATTTGGGGTACCTAGACCTACACGCAGCTTGTTAATAGTATGATTAGTGTCATTCTATCTAATTTAGGCATAATTAGGGCCATTAATCTACTTCTAGTTAGCTTTGATATGATTAACTCCTTATTAGTGTAATTATATCAAGTTAATAATGTTTAGTGTCATTTTATATATGATTAGATACTATTAGGGTCAATATCTTATTTTTCGTATCAATTTGAGGTAATTAGGGCTAAATGTTGTATGTTAATAGTGTGATTAGTGTCATTCTATCTAATTTAGAATTATTTTGTCATTAAGGTTATATAGAGCCCAATTTCATGTCTTCCTCTTATGATTAGTTTGTTTATCTTAACTTTAGGGGCAATTAGGGCCATTAGGTAACATATAAACCTAATTTGGGGGTAATTAGGTATAAACACAGCTTATAATTACTTGTTGGATTACGAGCGGTATTTATCTTGATTCTTTAAAGTTCATTTCTTGTGTTTCTCTTTAAAGAATAGTTTTCTTTTTAAGTTCATTAATTGTAGGATTATGGATTACGGTCTAGTGATTCTAATTAGAGCCAATTAGTCTAAATTTGTTACTTTAGACTCAGTTGGAGTCCTTGATTGATAATGCACTATCACAGCTTATTAATTTAATAAATATTCATAGGAAAATGATCCCAGAGGAACAGATGCATGATCCAACTTGGGATCATGCCCATCGTTTGGACAACAACTGCCATCATTAACAGTGTATTCATCGTGACTACGTCAGTTAGACTAGAGAAATCACTTGGTTGAAACAACATTTGGTTGACAGGTATCTCGATGTGGCAAAATGCACCAAGATTCCAATGGGAATGAGAAATCATTTTAAGAAAAGTTGCAAAAGGCAAAGTATGATGCAATCTAAAGGAAGGCCGACCAACAAGAAGAATATAAACGGGCTACAAAGGAACCCATCTATACCAGAGTCATCACGATGATGTCAACCCAGACCTTGCAGCTAGTATCTATGTTTCGTTGGAGCAGAATGGTGATGGTGCCACTGGGCCACAAGGATTGGGAAGGAGTGTCAGCATGAAGTAGCTAGTTGCCACTCCTCCTTGGTTGAGCAAGATTGACAGCATAAGGTAGGATGGCATACAAGGTTTTGTTAGAGGGCTTGGCTGGAGGTCAACACTTGAAGTTGTCGATATTGATCCACAAGCTTATGCACCACATTCAGCAAAATAGACTTCAATTGATGATGCAGATACAATAGAAAAGAAGCAAAATATTGACAAAGTCATTGCAAAGTGGTTTAACTACCACGGGATTCAAGCATAGATAGCTCAAGGTTCATATTTTCAAAGCATGGTGTCATTAATTGAAAAGGTTGCCACAGGCATCCAATCTACTAAGTTGAAGGAGATAACAATGTTTATCTAAATGAGATGACAGAATTCAAAGATTAGATTAAATCATCCAAGAAACAAATCAAATTATATGGGGTGACACTTATGTGTGACAGTTGGACCGAACCGATTAGAATGAGCATCATCAATTTCTTAGTGTGTTGCAACAAAAGGGTGGTCTTTCACAAGTTCACGAAAGGATTAGACAAAATTGGTCACCCATGTACTTTCACAAATGATGACATCGAGTGGTTCTCTTCGATCTCTAATTTTACAATAAAGATTTTCAACCGATGCAAGAATGGGTCAAAGCAGTAGAACCTAGGGGATCCTTTACTTGATGAGGCAAGATACCCTCTATGTCTTTCTTGTTTTATCATTGAGACAATAGAAAAAGAGGAACAACATCCTAGCACGAGGAAGATACCCTCAGTCAGAACATGGCGAAAGGAACCCGACAACCTCGAGTCAAACTAATCGAGGTCATGACACCTAACAATCAAAGTCGTCCGCCCAACGTGCTAAGGCAAAGGGGAAGGAAATAGCATCTATTGATCCCTTGGAAAGAGCGACAAGTAACAATTTTAATCCAACAACGAGACACCATCTCTATCACAGTCACACTCCAATCAATGCGTAGAGTCAGTAGTGACATCGATAGTAGTGCCCTCGATCGACAATGGCTACTGGCCAATAATAGTACAGTGATAATTGGTCATTCTTTTTATAAGCTGATTATTCTTATGATATGGAACAACAAGTTAGTGGCAATGGCAAAAGTTCCAACGTGCTCCAGCCTCCCCACCCATACATGCCACTATCATACTTGCCTTAGAAGGCTCCTCAGACACGTGTTGTTCAGGACGATCAGGCAACAACCATTATTACGTTGATGCACCAACGACATATAGTTTATCGATACACCTTGTCATGGGAGCAATTTCAAGATTGGGTCTAACAGATATGCCAAATTGCTATACGAATTCATAGGAACGAAGACACTGATTCACCGATTGTAGAATCCCACCATTTATTTTGGTGATAGAAGCATGTATACACAATTTGCTTCCATTTATTATTGAATTTACTAAAATCTTAAAGTCTTAACATGTAACCTAACATTTCAACTCGTATCTTAGTAGATGATGAAATATCAAGGGAAGAACCATCCTAAACGTGCCGCAAAGCTGCTCCTCAACATAAAAAAAAGAAGATAAATCCATTATTCCTTATTTCGATATTTTCTTATTAAATTGAACTAAATTTGCATTAAGTTATAATTGAAAGTCTTTAATTTAAGCTTTTTCGATTTTTCAGGTATTTTTGGGTTTTTCGGTATGTACCGATCCCAGATTGGACCAGCACAATCGGTTACTGATTCGCACGATATTGCATTCCTTGGTCACCGTAACATAAAAATTTCTGTCAAACTACAAAATCACACCTTTTGCCTTCAAAAAATCAAGATGGACAGAAGATATTTTCTATAACGCTAGGATATTTAATTAGCCAAGGATCTAACTTTTATAAAAAACAAAAAAAAATTGGACTTGCTAGAAATTCAAGCAAAATAAAGACCGATATGGGTCAACTAGGAGATGAGGAGGAGCAGATGCATGGTGGTAGGAGGCTGTGGCAGCAACAATAGTGATGACTTGGTAGTGGTAGCAATGTGGGAAGGAGGAGACGGAGAAAGAGAAACATAGAAACAATTGGAAAAATAGAGAGATGAAGAGAGACATAGAGATACAAACAAAATATCAACACCAAACAATAGGCTTACCAGCCAGTACCCTTCGTTACTGATCTCTTTACCACCTAGTAAACCCCGCACTGTGAGCTTTACAAACACAGTACAACTCATCCCAGACCAAACCAGGCAAAGTCGGCAATTCCACATGCTGGTACCCTATCAGATAGATAAAAAACTGAACCATATTCGGTTTTGTAATCTTGTTATCAAATAGGATCCACCTAGGATATAAATCCAGAATAATTAGCTTCTCAACAGAATCTCAATCTGAATTAAGTTTTGAGATCCACAAGAACGAAATAAAAATGATTGAATCCCTTGACACATTTGGTTCATGAACTTCAGAATTGGAATCAATATAAAAATCTAAGTATATTTATCGCAAACACAATCTGTTTACAGTTTATTATTCTATGCTTAATTTACCTACTCTTACTACTCTAAGCTCTATTTGTGTCAGATCCATTTTTGCATGCATAGCATCTATGTAACTAGACATTGCATCATACACCTTTAGGCACAGTGGTACATTTATTAAATGGTTCTACAACAAAACTTCGTCGTAACATTATGAACATTCCATGTTATTATACCTTTCAGTCTAGTAAGAAGAAATGCAACTGACTATAATTCAATCTACTCAGTATTATCAGACATTTATTTTTTTTCATTTTAACATTGATAACTAAAATCATCTATTTATTACATTCCATTCACCATATGTGTGACCTCCAAGTAGCCCCCAACTCTGCATTTTCGTACTTTGTTTGGCATGGATATTAAAGTCACCCTTTATGTAAGGTAGTCTACTAGACAGTGTTGCCTAACCCACTTGACCCATACTGCAATGATTGCCAATTCTTTTGAACTCTACAACGGCCAAACATTGTCTACCTCTTCTGCATAGAAGTTATGATTTTCTTTTTGTATGTACCAAAATTTGACCAGCATCTCTATTATGAATCTACCATTAACATAAAAAATCAACACCAATTTATTCCTTAGAATGGCTGTTGTTTAACAAACATTTCTGAAAAATCTTTGCACCATCTAACTGTAGATATTTATGGTCATCCTACTATTCTGTAATCGAATATAGGATATACTTACCTTGGTTAATCAAATGCAAAACTATTTTGTGACATATCAAACTGAATGGTGGGTGATACAAGTACAAAATGGCTGATGACAAAAACATACTCTTTTGTTTATTAGTATATGTTTCAATTCGAAACTTTCAAATATGTATCTAGGGGAGGCCATTCCCCCCTCCCCCAAACCTTCACACTTAACCTCCAAGAGAAACCAGGTTCACCTACCTCCACCCGCATGATATCATACCGCAGCCCAAAATGTTTCCCATTAATCATGGTCCAGCTGATACCTATTGTGCACATGGTTAACCTCAATACGATGAGCATAGGTCCCTAAAAAAACTAACAAATTTCATATTGTCCAACACACTTAGGCCTTTGATATTCTAAGACATTGAAACCATGAGGAGATCAAGGCAATGGAATTTAAAAAACCTTCCTATATTGGAATTTGTGATGGAGGACGAGTAACAAAATATTTCTTTTAGATGATAGAGGAATAGAATTAGAGGAAGAGGAAGATGATAGTGACAAGATAATAGAAAATAAATGGAAAACTTCCAGACTTGCTGAAGAAGACTCCTAGAATAAAGGGCTTGCACTTCCATAGGTCTCGCAAGAAGATGAAATCATTTCATCGGGAAAATAATTATGGTATTGCGCCACTAGAACTCAGTTCACTGATCTTCTAACTGATGCATTAGAATGTTCTAACGTCTGTTTCTAGCCCAAGTACAAGAAAAGAAAATAAATATTTAAAAAATTACAATTATAATTTTAAAAAAATATATGATTTGACGTTTCCTCCAAAGAAGATAATATTCTTGATTGATATATTTCCATCCTCGTAGAGATCAATTTTTACAAAATCTTCAATCACAATCATAATTTGAATTCTTTTAAAAATTTTCACACTTTTTACTTTTTACTTTTTTCTATTCCTAGAGTAAATTAGGAAACTGGGTTATAATTATTATGGATGTTGCCATGTGGCAATTTATGATATATACAAAATAACCCCTAAACTAATCAAAATTATTTAAATAAGTTATAGACTAAATTGGTCTGGCATCATACGCCTCCTCTATGTAGGAACTTGCCTCAAGTTCATGAAATAAGGATTGGTCTTGACGATGGAACATCTTGGCCAAACCAAAAGCATCGATACCAAATATGATGTAAGGCAACCCTAAAGGTGATGCTTAATATGATGAGAGAATTGGTGGGGTGGGTAATAAATGAAAAAACAAACTAAACCGGAAAGAGGGAGGAAACAAGAAAAATCCAATTTTCAGAAATATTAATTTAAAAAATAAGGAACAAGTGTTGGAATTCAATGCGTACCAAGATGGTCAAGGAGGAGAGCTTTAAGAGACGTTGCAAGTTCAATCAACGTGTCTTCATTGCAGGTTGGCTTCAGATAGCAGAGGAAAGCAAAGCATAGTCTTAGACTCACTCCAAGTCCTCCGACTGATAGGGAAACCATGCCCTCTCACCACTCACGTGGCATCCAAAGACTAATGATCTCATTACAATTATTGCCCTCTTTATACAGACCACAAATACAAGAAGAACAGGATGTAACTAACAAGAAAGAAAATAAAAAACACATCAAGACAAGTCAACACACTGTATCTAGTTATTTTTTGAGAAGATAAGCTTCTAGGATAGTTTTGTAAAATATTTTTTTTTTTATGCATGATATTCTTCCTTTCTTGTAAGATGATGATTCTGTAAAGTAATCTTCCTTCTTTGTGCATTATGTCTTTCCTTTCCTACAAGATGATGATTATTGCAATATTCTTTTTATTTATTTCGTTCTTCTACTTTATTGTCAATCTAGGAAATAAGATCCCAATTGTGTATGATGTTATGTGACAACCCTAAAATATCAATTGAACTTGAACCTGAGTTTACCACCAATGCAAAGTGATACGGGTCAGTCCTTTTCTTTTCACGTCAGCGAAATAAAATTTGATTTTCATCAATTTGTCAAGTATTCATCAAAGATAATGCTCTAAACCACAACTAAACTAGTTGAGGAAACCAACAAAAGATAAACAGTAAATGCCTTCTTTAAGCATAAAAAATTGTCCAAATAAAAAATGAAAATAAGGGGAAAAAGAGAGAGAGAAGACAAGCAAATACACAACAAAGAGAGAGGTGGAGGTGGCAAGAAAGAAGAAAGCAAGGATGTGAATGTTCATTGTGCTTTCAAGCGTTTGGGTCTTCCACTCGGTACATAATGAATCCCGGGGCCCCAACACTCAGATTTCCCTGACCTGTCACATATCTATAATAATGTTTCATTGACATTTACTGCCTCAAACACAGGTAACTCCTTAATCGCAATCTTGTGAAGTACAATATAACTTTAGCACCTAAAGAGCTTGTAAATGCATTTCAAGTGTACTAATTGATCATAAACCAGTTTCTCTCCAATTGATCATATAAAGAAAGAAAAAGAAAATAATTCCATGTATTCACAAAACCAAACCAAAAATCAACCTAGAATCACAAGATGGAAGGAAGAATAAAAAACAAACCATCAAACTCAAACCATAATCACCAATTATTACATCCAGCAGTAGCAGATGACGAACCCGAAACCCGGTACCAATTCGCAGAAGAGGACGAAACCGTCCTCTTCAGAATATAGAAAACAATGTCCAATCTTTCACAAAATTTCCAAAACCGTCTCCTCAAGATCACAGAAACCCTAACCAATAAATCAATCCAAACCAAGCCACACGAAACATTCTCGTGTAATCAAGAATTCTCTGCAATAATCCTCATCTTCCATACCACCATTTCATCAGAACCTGACACCGAATGTCAAAAACTCAACGAATCCAAGACACAGCGCTCGTATCATTGAAGACACGAAATAGCACAATTACCTTCCAAGAACGTCAAGAGACTGGTTTCGAATCCAAGAATCAAGAATCAAGAATCAAGAAGAAGAAGAAGAAGAAGAAGAAGGACCTTCTCAAGAGTTACAGGGATTTAGAATGCACCGAGGAGAGGATCTGACCAGCCGAAAAATGGAAGGGGAAAAGGCAGGAAGTGATGGAAATCCCAGCAGAAACGCGGCCTCCGCCACGACTTCGACGGATGAGAAGCAAAAGACGAACACGATCTATTATATGAACACCGCGGAGCTCGGACCGTCTGATTCATCATGGAATAAATATTAGAATAAATTCCTTTTGCAGAAAACACCGTATCTTTCTCTACATTTTTATATCAGCTCTTCTTCTTCTTCTTCTTCTTCTTCTATGTTCGCGCATAAAAACTGTGCACCGTCCGATCGATCCTTCAAAAAAAAAAAAGGGAATTTAAAAGAAAAAAGATAAATATATATACGAATTTATGAAAATAAACATCTAACTTTAGATAGATAATTTATGAAAATAAATTATCTAAACAGCATCTCTTGGAAAATTATTTTTCCAATTACCATTTTTTTTCATCCAAAACAGTGACTTTTGGATCGTTGGTTCGTTAAGGTTTTATTGATCGATTCAGGTTGAGATGGTTTACTTGCAAAGTGAGTGGCACAGTGTACAATAAGCTATTATCATAATATGAGTTTTGATCTCAATAAAAAAAAAAATTTGTACATCTTCTTATTCTTTTGTCTTTTATTTTTTTTCCTGAATCAAGAAAATAAAAAAAATCATGTAAATATATTGATGTCTTTCAAAAATAATATCTGTTTCTTGTTGTACTTTCATAAAAGCCAATATTTTAACTCATTTTACTGTCATATTGGTTTATTGATTTTTTAAAAATAATATTTTTAATTTTAATAATCTCATTGTAGGGAGGATTTTATTCCCGATAAAGTATTTTCAATTCTTTATGATATTGATAAACAATCATCAAGTTTGTATTAAAATCATAGCTCAAGTATTGAACCTCTTTTTATATACTTCAATAATTAATTTTCTTGTGATGAAGATAATGATAGTAATATCTTCGAAAATGAATTGACTGAAAACATACTATAATAAAAGTTTGAAGGTGACATAAACCCTAATATTTATGATGTATTAGATGTTGTTGGTCAATGAGTTATTTCAAGCGAGGATATGTATGATAATATTAAATAAGTACTTGCTAAATATGATTGTAGTAAAGATGAGGATATGTTGTTAAACATCTTTCTACAATGATCTATTTGTTGGTCAAGTATGATATTTGAATGATATTAAAATTATTTTATTATATTTTTTGATATATATATTATCTTGTAACTCAAATAATATCTTTCTACAAATGGCTAAATTTTAAAAAATCTTAAAAGAATATATAGAAATTTTGAGATTAAGCATGTTGCAATTAGAAGTTAATAGTTAAAAACAAAATGTAAGGTTTCTAATTATCAATTGGATGATAGTAGCTCATGATGAAACTAATAGTTTTTGAATTATGAAGGTTCATAAAGAGCATGATTGTAATTTATCAAGATTAAATAGGCATAAGGAATCCAATAGTTCTTTCATTGTAGTTAAATCAAAGATCAAGTTATGGTAAATGTTGATTATATTTCAAAGATGATTATTACTAATATTCAAAAAAGATTTGAAATTAATATTTCATATAAGAAGGTTTATATTTTTAAGAGTTAAAATTGCATAGTTGTGAGAGTCATGTCCAAATAATAATTTCATCAAAAATATTATTTTTAAAAAATATTTTGGGCTTCCTGAGGTTACCTTAGAATTTTTTTATATATACAACCTGTTTTTGGTATCAATATGACACATCTATTGGAAAAATATCCCATTGTTTTGATGACAACAATAATTATTGATGGTTGTAATAGATTATTTCAATTGATTTGCTACGATGGAGATTGAGTATAGAGATTTACTATGATGGAGATTGAGTATATATTATGGGATATAAAAATTTGATTATTATTAATTATCAAAATCCAAAAAAAAAATAGTGAAAGAGATCTACTCAAACATATCATTGCTATTAAATGATATGCGAGACAAAGAGGTTATAAAATTATTTAAGCTTGTTGCTAGATCCCCTATTATGTACAAGTTTAATGAATGCATGCAAAGTTGAGAAAAAAATTATAGAAAAAGCTTCATACGAATATCTAAAATTAAGAAGGAGAAATGATATTCTACGTATTTCCTTGGCCATCGTTATAGAATGCTAAATACATCAAAAAGTTTTAGTAAAGGATGTTTGTGGCTGAAATATTACCTTTATGATCGAAATTACTAGGAATGTTGCTAAAAAGTTCTACGTCCATCGTAAAATAGCTAATATTTTAAAATCAACTTTGATAAGTATCATCGAGGATTCACTTGTGAAGGGGAAGGACAAGGGTTATACTATAGTGTCTTTCCTTATACTAAATTACAAATGAAGACATCGTTTGAGATGGTTATGCTAGATTTGAGGAAAAAAAATTATTCATGACGGTATTTTGATATTTTAAAAATTTTATATTTTTGTTGTTATTAGGTATAAGAATGATAATCCATATTCTTTTGTGAAGATTATTATTAAACTGACAGTTACAAGAAAACCTACAATGATAAAATATTTCCTAGGAGAAGCAATCAATATTGAATATAATTGTTAGGATCTTAATGATACTAAGAGGGGGTTTATTAGTTCAATGATATTTTTAATTAATTTTAAAACTCAATCGATAAATCAACATGTATTGAAAACTCGATTGACAAGTTAAAGTTGTAAGCAAAAAGAGTAAAACTAAATCATAAGTAAAGTGCAAGTAAAGAGAAGTAACCGATCTATAGTGGTTCACTCTTTCTGACCTATGTCCATTTCTAATTCCTCTTTTCTTGAAACCATTGGTTTTCACTACTGACTTTTTTTTAATGGAAAAATATCAACTATCCATTTACAACTTTATCTTAAAATTTTAAGACTGAGGAGATAACCTTTAGATTATCTTTTTATATAAGATCTCTCACCTCCTACAACATAGAATTATAACTAAATTCAAGAGGGGGAAGACTCAAACTATGCTCAAAATAAGAGTTTACAATACTTCTGTGCTAAGAAATAGTTACTCCATCAACCAAGCCTACGTGTGGTATTTATAGGTCCCAAAAGACTTCAAGAATGAGGCTAAAAATTTAAATCTCTGAAAATTTAGGGTATTTATGGTACTACCGCAAGCACCGAGAAGTGCTACCACCATAATGGGGCCGCAAATCATGGCTCTGCTAATACTATCGTCGGCCTAGATGGTACTACCACCGCCCTGGGTGGTACTACTATCAGCATGAGCAGTACTATCATTAGAAATATAAATAATGCTTTTCGGCTAACTCAAGTGGTACTATTGCTTGGGTCTGACGGTACCATTGCTTAGGCCTAGTTTAGGCCACTAATTTGACCTTCTACTAGATCCAATTCGATGTTAGTTTAAGCCCAATGGGTTCTTTGACAAGTTGGCATGGTTTTGAACCAATACAACTCAAATTGACTCATAATGACCTGGATCAAGACTATGATAAATCAACCATGCATATGACACATTAACGAAGCTTTCAGCATGTTGTATGTTATTCCAGCATTTTCTGACACTTTGTACGAACGTTTGATACATCATCATTTCCTTCGATATATCACTCATTCCACCGACATGTCAATTTTTCCATAACATCTAATTTTTCGACGTAATATTCGATCCTTTTAGCATGATGCCTGAATTATAGTACGAAGTTCGATCTCTAAAATGTCAATAAATCCTTCAGCTCGACATCTAATTTTTAGCATGAGAATTTTTTAATGTAATGTCCAACTCTCCTACTCGATAATTACTACTTCGATGATCTAAGTCCGTGATCAAAGTATTTAATGTATAATCTATCTCAAAAACATATTTAGTCTAATAGACTTATCAATTAGTTTCATCATCAAAATTTAGGATTCAATAATCTCTTCTTTTTTATATGATAACAACTAATTGATTGTGGGTTTTTAACAAGACTCCCTTATCTATTGATTGTTTTAAATTATTATAATAAACTTGAACTTAAATAATCATATATCCTTTTAAATGCATATATTGAATTTAAGTTGAAAAAAAATTAATGTTATCGATATTATAAAACTAAAACACTTATCAAAATATCATTATAATTAATATTCTCCCATTAACTTAGAGTAATTTATATTAATACTCTTAGAAAAACTTATAAACTATTATTAAATTAGTAACTTTTATATTTATCCATCTAAATTTAATTTTAAAAATAAATTAATAAATCAATAAAAAATTATAACAGATATTATGTGTACCCAAAATTTTAATATGTTAAGACTTAAAATTTAATGATTACTTTGAGTTTAGTGGATGAACATCAATAGGGAGTTATAGGGATGAATATATATACATATGATTTAAATATTCTAAAACAAATATGAAGGGATAAATCTGTCATTTTAAACTCTGAAAGGATAGATATGAAAATCTTTTTTTAAAAAGGGAGATTGCTAATGACAATCTCATTTTGATATTGGCCCTTACTTCATAAAACCATTAAAAATAATAAATATAATTTTGTTAAATAGATCATCTCAATTACCTATCATATCTCTCTTTTCTTTTTTTTCATACCCCCTCAATTACTCTTACTTCATGTAACATATTTCATCTATTAGTTAATCATCCTTGCAAGAGTCACATTGAAATCTTAGTCGTGTCCCCTCTGACCAGACAATTAAAAGTTAAAAAATTATTATATTAAAAAAAGGGATTAATGAATTGAGGGTATTTATGTTCATGTGTAGACGCATATGTTAGGAGTACTAAAAGTTCTTAAAGTGGGATTGCAAATAACGGAGATTGCCAATATAAATCTTCAAGAATATTTTTTCAGATAAGATCCTAACTTAACCCCTTTTTGCCATTTTGAAAAATACAATATTGGTTTTCCGACAAGGTATTCTAATATATGTGTATACATATATTCCCTTGTCTTCTAATTGATTGTGATATCATACTCTGGAAGAGAGAAGATATATTACCTATTTTTTCTTCTTTAATGAACATTTCATAGTTTCAAGAAAAAATAAATAATTGTAACTTAGAAAAGAGGTGGTAACATATTGTCCTTTTAAAACTTGAGAAGCATGTTTTATAGGAAAATTTAGGATAAGTTTATCGAAAAAAATATATTATTGATAATTAAGATATTGGTAATGGAATTTTTTTTTTGGAGTTTTTCATTTTTATTGACACATGCACTTAAATTACTAAGTTCATATGGTTTAAGAATTTACGAATCATTGTAAATTACAAATAATTATCAGTAATATTTATATGTAATTTTGATGTGCTATAAAATATTTTACAACACAAAACAAAGTTTTATATCACAAGTCCAGACTTAATTTCCAAAGATACCTTAACATGTTGTGCTGCTGAAAGAAGTACATTTCTTCCTTAAATATCTACAATTTTCAACATTCTGTTTCTCTAATTAGATTTTAATATTTTAAAAAATAAGTTTGGAACCAATCTATCAATCATACAGTAATGCAATAATCATTATAATCTCTCAACATATACTAATTAGCCATCAATTAAGAGAGTTTGTTTGTCTAACAAGGCGAGTTGTTGGAAAAAAAAAGGCTTAGGTTTTGGGTTTTTCCTAATAATGGCGTCATTTTCCAAAGAGAACATATTCCTTTTATAAAAATATCACAATACCTTTATTATAAAAGAAAAGAGAACATATTCTCGTTGAAATCCAATTTAACTGAAGTGGAATATAGTTACTAAATTTTTCTAACATAGTTATTTTATTTTTTTTGTTTCACTAAATAAAAAATATTATAGCTCTATCTTTGTTTGGTTCAGTAGTTAAAGACACTAACCTATCTAGTTAAGTACTGAATTGATTTAGACTAGTTAGGTTTCAATAAGTTATAAAATGTTAATTTTTAGATCCAAAAAATTACTGATTAGTCCCATATCGAAAGTGAGCAAGACTAAGATTGACTTATAAGGGTTTGATGAGTGTACTACTATCAACTTTAGCTTAAGCATTTTGGTTAATTATTTAGACCAAACGAAGTTGATAGGCTAGTTAGCCCATCAGACTCGGGTCATGATATTTGGTATCAGAGCCGACCTAAAGGACTACCCGTAGACGAAATATATGATCTAACTATACAATTTCCTAGTCTCATAGTGGTAGATTACTAGCATGTTGATCGACTCTAGCTATCAGATTCAATTTTCAACTTGTATTAATCTCACCAAAAAAATAAATTAGGATCATATCACAATCTTATAATAAGAATAAGAATAATCAGTCCCCTTGCCCCTTATTTTTTTAGAATTAAAATTTTTAATTTTTGAGTTTAAATTTGTATACTTGTTTTGCATATTTTTTTTTAACCTTTATTCTTTATGTTATTTTGATTCTCTTTGTCTCTCTTTTCTTTTTATTCCCTTCCATCATTACTTAATTTCCCATAAGTTTGTTGATTCGGTAGTATATATATATATATATATATATATATATATATATATATATATATATATATATATATATATATATATATATATATATATATAT